TTTTTTTTTTTTTTTTTGTAAATGAACGAAATCCTAGCACAATGATTGAAATTTAATTCATCGGGGGAATGTCCAATGTATTAAATATCTGATGCAATTTCATCCGCGAAGAAGAACAAAAATGGATGTCTACAGTTAATCGATAGATACAAGAAATCGAGCTTGCAAAGGTGTGTGTGTGTGTGTATATATATAGAGCAGAAAAAAATTAACTTCCACGTAGAATCAAACAAATTCCTCCATACTTGTCCGAAGTCTAACTAACAATTACATTTAAAAGAAAAAGAATCTTATTTTTAAAATTGTAATCAACGACAACAATCATTTCTATGTTAAATACAGTTTCTGTAATAATGCTGAAATCCTAACAAACAGTCAAAATAGAATTTTTCTTAGATATATGTTGAAATATGTTGACCATCCTTCCCAAGTTATTCTTCTAACTCTCTTCGCGATCTTTAGCAACGATATTACTCTTGGAGAGTTGGTTAAAAGTAACAATAAAAGACAGAACGAAAATTTAATCGATCAAGAGAGAAATATATTTTCAACTCAAGTCCCAGAGGAAAGAAGAAAACGAAAAAAAAAAAAAAAAAAAAAGAAAATCAATATCTAGGCTGAAAGAATTTTTTTAGCAAACGTATCGAGCAGAATGTTCAGTGATTAAAATTGCAAATCGAAATTAAAAACCAATAGACATAACGCGGAAGAGATTTCAATTAAATTAGACTCGCGAAAAAATTCGGATATTTTTACTGCGGACGAAAAATTCATCAGGGACGCAAATAAATTGATCTGGGTTCGGATAAAACCGAGGATCGAAATAGAGTTTGCTTGGCCGGTGGTACCTTCAGCTGTTGGCCGAATCGCGTCAAAAGGTAGTTCCGTGGTCCTTCTAAATCACAGTCCAACTACGAGCTTACTTTAACTGGTCATAAAATGTTGCCGACGAAATGTTTTCGATTTATTTATCCAATAAATGTACATTTTTATTGTTCGCTTCATGGGTGACAACTTCTTTGACGAAGTCTGTCTCTTTGTGAAACACGTGGGTTTTAACTGACACTCAAATTGCCACAGTTTCGTTGGCGCGACGTTGCGTTATTAATTGGAAACAAATATAAACTTCCAGTTGCCAATTTTAAGTTACCGTGGATTACTATAGTAAACTTCTCTATTATGTTAAATACGAAATTTAAAAGAAACTGTACATTCATCTCTTGATAGAGACTAAATGAAACGAAATTGAATCAAATTAGAAAATTGAAAGATCAAAATTTACGTTTTGCGTGACTTTCAGTGTCCAGTATAACACCGATTGAGGATTAACTACGATCGATCGATCGATCAAAGATCAATAAATGAGAAAGAAAAAAAAAACTATATAAAATCGCGTTTCATTCGGTGAAAGATAGTGCGAACGTTAAATGCTTCGGAATAAGTTGAGAAGTATGAAGCAATTTGTCTGTAAATTATTTATAATCTAGGATCGGCTGTACCATTCTGCATTTGCGATTTACACGCGTTATATTCGAAGAAAGTTAGCGTAACACAGTTGGCGTTAAAATTCCCCTACCATCTTAACGGTGAAACGAATCGAACGAATGAATTCTCATTGAGCATGGTAAATCATTGTGAAAGATCGGGTGTGAAAATTCAGAGCGTTGAATTTCGGTCG